TACAGAATTCAGATTTCTAAGATTACGGTCAGACTCTTGGAGTGAAAGTAAAACTCTTGTCTTTGAATTTTGACGTTTTATATCTGAAGTCCAACTTTTTTTTAAAACATATGTACTTGCAATTCAAGTCTAAATTGTTTTAAATTATTGAAAATTAAAATCACTTTTACTGAGTTTATTTTACTTAAAATTCAGAAGTCTATTAAATTAGTTTTCTTTTTTAAATAGATGTTTTTAATAATCCTGTAGAAGTGTATGCTCTGTACTCACTGTACATAGACAGTTTTTGCTATTTCTCTACTGATGACTGAGGAACCCAGCTGGTCTGGAATCGATCCTACAACCCTCTGATTGTAAGACTGCACTACTGCACTTCCGGTCATGATTTTGTTGATTCACATCTTAAACCGTACACAGATTCTTGTTCATTTCCTTTAACAGGACAGGGTTACTTTAGATTACAATGAAAAAACGGAACTGCCAATAATTAAATTCTCTAATAATAGTCTGTCGACTGATGTTTTCATATTTTTAGCATAAGCACCTACTTGAAAAAAAAAATCAATGTTGGTTTGAAAACTAAGGGGCGTGTGTGTGCGCATGTGTGCGTGCACGTGTGCAGAGGACAGCGGAGCAGATACAGAGTGGAGTTGTTTAATGACAGGAACAGCTGACTCATTTAGGGGGAGCAGTGAAAGGTAATTAACCCTGGGAAAACTGCAGCTGCCGTGCCGTGCTGTTCACTTCAGTGCAATCTGATTAGGAATCACTCCTCAAGTCTCTGACTCCTCTCAGACCGCTGCATGTTCCAGGTAAACTTTTCCCTCTTGGGCCCCCCGGGAGCTGCAGAGCACCGGAGACCTGCCTTTTGTGACGGCGGATTTGCTGGAACGGTTACTACGTTTTCCTCTAAATTACAGACCACCTGCTTGCATTCATGCCACCTCCTCCATGAAAGGGCCTCCTCGGGCCGGAACAATGAGCCGGATTTACTCCGCTCTTTGTTGCACCCAGACTGGAAGTTCTTTTTCTGCAAACACCTGTCCCTAAATTAGACGGCGTCTCCAAATCCACGTCGACGATGCTCATATGAAATAGATGCTCCTTCATTACGACTGGCACCGGTGCTGAGTGAAGTGCAGGAGGACACTTCATTTTTATTTGTTTCAATATTTCTGCTGTTCCTATTCTAGTTGGATTGAATTTCACTCGTGAAATAACAAACCGTCTCTGCCCCTTTGGTGTGATGAGGGAACCAAATTTGGTCAAAAACAGAAATTGGCTCTTTGATGTCAGAAGAAATAATCTGGACTTGCTTCCTTGCGTGTGGTCCGGCTCCAGATGAACTCAATTTAGAAGGGAGGCTCTGGGATGACTCTGGAACGGGATGACAAGTCTGGTAAATCACCTCGGCAAAGGTGTCACCGTCTGACTCTTTTATGGGACTCTTGCTAACTGTGTCCAATAACAAGGTTCCCCTGTAGTTATGCCATCATCAGGACTCATTGAAGCCGTAGTGGACCAGCCAGGCTCCTAATTGTCTGTTAAGGGTTCTGTGAGCTGTGTTCTTTTATTGAAGCGTCTCTGCCTCGGAGAAAGTGATAAGATGCCAATACGCTTCTCTATAAAAGTACTCTTTGGCAAAAGACGCAAACACTTTGCTTGGCCGTCAGGGTAGCTGTGAGGCTGTTATCTCTGAAATCGCAGTTGACTTCATGATATTCGAGTGTGTCTCCGTGAGTCCAGAAAGCTCCATCAGAAGGAAGAATGCTCATAAATTGCTGGCAGAAGAGTTTTGGTCCTACAGATTCTGTCTTTTTCTTTTTCGTTAACACACATAAAACCAGAATAATGGTCCTTCATTTTATTGAATGGACTCCGCTCTGTGGTATAAAAATATAAATACATCCCCAAAAAAGTTTTCAAACCCAAACCATTCAGTATCGAAAGCTGAATTTAAACATTTATTTTGGTTTTTATCGTAGACGTACACTGGCGAGAGGGAGAGGACTACAGATTGTAATCCAGGATTTTAACATATATTGGCAAAAACCACTGACACCCCCTCGTCCCCCCTCCCCCCTGACAGTCTGAGCCAATCAGCTCAGTTATCAGAGCGATGGTGAATATTTCAACATGTTTGATTTTCTCTATCGTTTGTTCCCACAGAGCAGTTTTGGTTGCATTCCAGATGCACAGTATATGTATAGAGTCGCTAAGATTTTATAACAGTTTATTTGATTTTAAAAAAAGAATGTAAAATATTTCCTTCTAATTTGTATTTTTGTGATATATAATATACAGCATATAGTCAAAACATTTCCACTTTCTGTCATTTCAGATTTCTTACTACTGCTGTGGGGAAAATAAGAATAAATACAAAATAATAATAAAAAAATATTTGGCTCCTATACATATAAAAAATGTAATTTCAGTCTAAATTTTTCTTAAAACATTTTATATTAGAATGTTTTTTAAATCTCTATTTTTAATCTCATCAGACATTTAAAATCATTTTTGGTTTGGTTTGGTACAAAAACCATCCATTCAGCTTCATTTTTATTTCATTCATATTCATAGTATTTCTGTTCATAACATTGAAATAGTCGGTATAAATAGGTTCTATTTCATATCATGAACCGCAGATTAAAGGCCAAGTGTTATCCATAAATTTAATGTTCAAGACCTCCCTCCGTCCCCTCCCCCTCTTAAATACATCCAGACAGATTTCTAATGTCCAGCTGGTGTTGAGGGACATGGAGTCTGATCTCTTTGTGTCCAAACCCTCCCTCAGAAAAAGTTACTAATGCGAGCAGAACATGTACGTTTTTTTTTTCTCACGGTAAAAAAAAAAAGGAAAAAAAAAAAAAAGCTCTCACGTTCAGATGAACCTGCCCGCCTCAGGGCAGGTGTGATTATTTGCGACCTGCTGAATATCTTGTTCACGGCGCTGCCTCCACCTCCTATAGGGTAAATATAAATTAAGATAAGTTTGCTGTATCCTCAGACATTCATTACAAGGAAATATGAAAGTAAAAGCTGCAATCTCCTGCCGTTTGCTCTTTATTATACATAAACAGAAAACACTTAGCATGTAAAATTAATGTGAAAATTATTCCCCGGGTAAACTATAAACACAGAAGTTACCCTGCACATTCACCCTTTTTTTTCTCCTTCCCCTAGATCAGAGTGTAATTGCCAGTAATCAGGTCTGTTTGCTGCTGATAAAACCACTCTGAATGCGAGGAACCCTCTTTGTGTGATGACTCAATTATGCCAGAAGTGGCTCATCAAACCTGGCCCATCAGCTGCTTTAATAAATAAGGAGGAAAACTTGCTGCAGGCGCATTATAATTCCATTCATTCCATAATTAAATCCATTCCAGTTTTAACCCTTCACTCAGTGTGCTTCTGGAAGAGGAAACAAAAACAAGGCAGAGGGGAGGAGGAGGAGGAGGTGAAGTTGGAGGGAGTAGGTGGGTGTGTGTGCCACACACCAGACAGTGACCTTGCACAGAGCACCCATCCACTCCCTATAATTCAAAATGATACTGTTGAAGAGAGGTTACGAGAAAGAGGCTGGTGGAGAAAAGAATGGGAATCAGTTAAGACGCAACTCAAAGGTTTTTTTACTTTTATTTATTTAGTTTCTTTACCTATGCATTGTGTCCACACAGCCTTAGAGAGTAATTATATTAAAGAGTAATCTAATCGTGACAGTCAGTTGCTCGAGTGTGCAGCACTGACATTTTGAAATCTTATTTGGTGTAATCTGCTTTGCCTCTATCATCTCGCCTTCAGTAGCCTCTATCAAAGGGAAATGTAAATAACGTAATTAATTTTATGGTCTCCAGAATCTCACTTTGCGACTCTGGTCCAGTTTATTGGTTTCATGATGAGGTATTGGGACTTTTTTTTCTTTCTTTTTTTTTTTCTTTTTTTCTAACTCCATCACAATAATGTCTGTGTTAATTACATGAGAGCGTCCCAAGTGCAGGGATAAGCTGGGGAGCAAGGGGACACGGAGACTCAAGGTCGCTGATGAATATCCGCGGCATCTGCTCCGTAATAACAAGACATTATATGAAAAATTATTATAACAGGCAGCGTCCACCACAAAGTGGGAGAGGTTTGCTCAGATACGTCCCCTCCACCTCAGCCTGGATGCCGGCTTTGTCATTATGAGGGCTGCACTGGAATGTCTGCCGTGCTTTTGTCCCCCCCCCCCCCCCCCCTCCAGTACTGGCCCATTCTCCCCTCTGTGGTGGGAATGCTAGCAGATGGGGTTAGGGGGGAATGGGCTGGGCTCAAGGACACCTAGCAGCCAGATTAACACAGAGAATCACACAGAGCCTCAGCATCAGGCGGCCTCCGTTCACACCCCCTCCACCCCCCCTTGAGAAATCTGCCCCAGACGAACCACAGACCTCCGGGAAGCATCATTTGCTTCGGTTTGTGTGTGTGTGTGTGTGTGTGTTCACGAGCAGGGGTGAGTGCATAAATATGATTCAGCAGATGACGAACCAGCTCAGATACTAGTCAGTTTTTTTCATATGCTAATGAAAGTGAGTGAACCCCCCCGCCCCCACCCCCCCCCCCCACGCTTCTCCGCCGCT